AATACCATCAACAAATGGTCATTTCCGGGCATTTTGGCAGTTGCATGGGAAACAGCTGTCTCCAAGACAAATATTCAAGCTGGTTTCAAATCTTGTGGCATATTCCCATTCAATCCATCAGCTGTTACTCCTGAGCTGTTGAAGCCTTCCTTTCCTTCAAATAAACCACAACCACTTCTGTCTTCAGCAGATGAAATATCAGCATCCAACACTCCTTCTAAGCATTCTGAGGTCCCCTCTGGTCCCCTCTCAGTTTCTGGTCCTTCTGCATCTTCTAGTGGTCCAGTATCTTTCACTATTGTCACTTCAGGAGTTGGTACATCCTTATTGCCTACAGTCACCCTATCTACACGACAGGATCTTTCCATTAATGAGTCCCCTGCAACCAATGCAAGTCAGGAGACTGCAATAAGTCTTGTTACACCTGTTGACGACATGACAACTCCTCCCTTGGCAGATGACCCAGAAATGCTACTTGAATTGATAAATGCTGGTAATGTGGAAGTATTTACCCCAGACGAAGAGGGCACAGTTGAAATTCATCAGTCTGGCATTTGGGATTCCGCCATATCAGACATCTTTCTCCCACTTCAGTATGTTGAACCAAATAAACCAGCTGATCCTAAACCGAGATCAAAGCCTTCATCTCACAGACTCTTGACCTCGGAAGGAATTCTTCTGGAAAAACAGATGATGTGGCAGAAGAAGGAGAATGCTAACCTGAAAAAACAAAAGAGAAAGGAAAAGCTTGATTTAAAGAAAAAACAAGGAACCCATTCATGAATTTTAATTCTGATTACAAAATTTTGATTGACAAGTTGTTTACTGTTTCTGTTAAGCCTGACATTTATTTCAATATTGATGAGTATATTATACTTAACAAAGTAACCAATAAGAATAAATACCATAAAGTTTGTGTATTTTTTATATGTTGACGACTGAAAACGAGTCACCAGAAAATTACAGTCAGTTTAAATATATCCCCCTTTCTGGCATGAAGTTCCCTGTTATACCATAATTTCTATTTCTCATGTCTCTGTAAGTGTTGATTATTAACATCAAATTGTCACGTTATTTTTAAAAAGTGTACAGTTTTTCTCCCAATGTAATATGTGTGTAATATATGTGTGTGTATTCCTCTTACTCTGAGTTTCTGATTAAATAGTATTTTAAAGTTCCTAGAATAACTTACCATTAATGCTTTTTAATTACGGTGATTTTTTGGCGTTCTCTTCCCCTTTTGTTAATGCCTTCTTATCCACTGTTAACAGCCGCAATTTATTTTAAGTGCAACTGGCTTCTCTTATAGGACCTCACTTTAAATATCCGATGACTATTCCATTATACCAAGGGGCTGTCAGGTCATTCCATTTAGATTAATTGATGCAAAAAGCATTGTTTTTTTTTACCTAACAACGCGTGCCTCAACAAACAGATACGTAAGTTGCAACTATCAAGGGACTGTTGTTTTTTTTTTATAGTTTAAACAGTATGAAAATGTTTAAATGAACGGCCGGTCTCCCTTTCCGGCATCAATGAAAGTTTTATTGCAGTATGGTTAAATAAATTATGGTCGTAGTTAACGATGTCAGTGCCTGACAAAAGTATTCCAGGTAAACATGCTACTATGATAATTATGTTTATTCTTTTAAAGGACAGATTATATATTTATTGTAAAAATTTGCAAACCCCCTCCCATCAAATTAGAAATTTAATGATTAAATCTATCTGAATAACGCTGTATTAACAACTGAGATGCTTTATAAAATTGTGTTTAGGATGTTTGAATTCTTACAAGCAATTTATTTCCTTACTGCATGCTATTATTTGACATTGCACGCTTACGCCGCCATACACGATTGGCCTGTCCGGATTTACCTGCATTGTGTCCGGATTTACCCCACTCTGCTAATGCGTTTTATTTTGCTAATATATGAATAAAACCTAAAGGAAAACAATCTAAAATATCAAATTATTGAGGATTATGTATGGAAATCAAACATCAATTCCACACCGGGCTACCTATCAGTCAGTTTCGCGTTGATATTCCTTTCGAACAACGCTTACGTGAGTTTTGTCCGGAATTACCGCTCCTGTAGCGCTCCTGTCTCGAAATACGAAATAGCTAGGTTGAAGATCTTGATATTCATAAGTTAAAAGGATTAAGGAAGTATAACCCTAGACTTTATCAGAATGGTAAGCAAGAAAAATGCTAGTTAAAGACCAAGGTTCACTTAGAGCCTTTTTTGGCCCTGTGAATTTCTGAAAAAAAAAATATGAAAATGCTTAATTTTAGTTAACAATGCATTAAATATCATTTATACCTTTGGTGATTGCATGTCTACCAAATATGACGTAATTTTTTTTCTGGCCAGTCCTTGCATTATGACGTCATGAAATGTGTGAATCTCGTCATATAAGCCACTGGTAAATGATAGAACTGTTTCTGAAGATTACCAAAAGATGTTTTACTTTTAGATCAGAGGGAACCCGGTGCGCTCCTATTATTTTTGTCCCCCGCTTTTGCGAAAGCGAGGGGACATTAAATCTCATTCGTCTGTCTGTCCGTCCGTCTGTCCGTCAGTCTGTCCGTCACAAAAACTTTAACCTTGCCCATAACTTTTGATTTAGTGGAGCTATGACTTTCATATTTCACAAGTGTATTCCTTGTGACAAGACCTTTCTTTGGGTACCACCAAATTTGACCTTTTGACCTTGACCTTGGAGTTTGACCCACTTTTACACAAAAATTCCAAACTTTTACTTTGGCCATAACTTTTGAATAGTAGGTACTAGGACTTTCATATTTCACATATGTATTGTTTGTGGCAAAACCTTTCATTGGATAACAACAACCTTGACCTTTTGACCTTGGTTTTGGAGATTTACGTACTTATGAAAAAACTTTAACCTTGACCATAACTTTTTAACGGTGAGGACGAAGGCTTTCATACTTCACATATATAATCCTTGTGAGAAGACCTTTCATTGGATACCAATAACTTTTGCCCTTTGACCTTGACCTTGGAGTTTTAATTACATTTAAAAACTTTAACCTTGGTTACAACTTTTAAACAGTAGATACTAGGACTTTTATATTTCACATATGTATTCCTTGTGGCAAGACATTTCATTGGATACCAACAACCTTGACATTTTGACCTTGACCTTGGAGATTTATGTACTTATGAAAAAAATTTAACCTTGACCATAACTTTTGAACGGTGAGGACTAGGGCTTTTGTACTTCACATATGTGATCCTTTTGAGAAGACTTTTCATTGGATACCAATAACTTTTACCCTTTGACCTTGACCTTGGAGTTTTAACTACTTTTTAAAAATACTTAAACTTTGGTCACAACTTTTGAACGGTAGATACTAGGACTTTTATATTTTACATATGTATTCTTTGTGGCAAGTCCTTTCATTGGATATCAACAACTTTGACCTTTTGACCTTGACCTTAAAGATTTATGTACTTATGAAAAAACTTTAACCTTGACCATAAATTTTAAACAATAAGGGCTAGGGCTTTCATACTTCACATATGTAATCCTTGTGAGAAAACTTTCATTGGACATCAACAACTTTGACCCTTTGATCTTGACCTTGGAGTTGACCTACTTTTAAAAAACTTTTTACTTTGGCCATAACTTTTTAACGGTCAGGATTAGGGTTTTCATCCTTCAAAAAAATCAACTTCAGAGTTACTTTCTAAATAAATGACATATGATAGGATGTTCATATTACACACAATATGTCATAAAGATAACATCTCACCCACAAAGACACTGAAAGCGGGGGACCACAATTCTTTGAATTTGCTTGTTCTTCTTTGAAAGTAATCATATATATACATGTGTAGCTGTTTACATTAAAATTCAAGAACATTGCAATTTCATAAAGCCTGTGTTCCAAGACCTGGAGTTTAAAGACAAAAAATTAACAGGAAATGAATGTACTTAGACTCTACTTTATTTTGATGTTTAAAATGGAACATAAAGTTTTAGTCAATAAATTGGTATATCAACAGGGCCGTTTTATGTATAAAGTGAACCAAGCTCTCCTAACCTTATTCTCTAACTTATAAATATATTTTTTGACGTAAAGATACAATCAATATCAGTCCAAAACTGAACGTATGTTGGCTGACATGCAGATGCCTTGAACATGCTGAATTCCCTAAAAAACAGACAACTCTTCAACTTATCTAAAATGCTAAACACACACGCAAAAATCAGCACAAAATAATTTATTAAGAATTTGTTGCACAATATCGCCTGCGATGTATACAACATATATCAATATATAAATATCACCTGCAATAAAGACATTTTACAACATATGTCAATACATTGTCCCTTATAATTATTGGATGTTATTTGACTTATTTCCTTCTCGACACTTTTTGCAACTCTGCAATTTTAAGACATCAGATTCATTGTTTATTAATGCACTTCGTATTTTCTTTAGATGGAAATATTTTAGGGGAAAAAATGGCCCCATGCGTAGTCCATGTGTTATGAGATTATTTAGACATCGGCCTTTTGTAACTTTGAAATGAATTATTAATGTTCATCCATTACAAATTTATTTTCTAGGTCCTTGTCTAAATGGCGTGGTCAATTCAAAATAATTTTTTCCTAATTAAACCCCACTTTTTATTCTTGAAGAATATATGACTTTATTTTTAATCACACGGTGCGGTTCCAACATTTATTCTTGATCTTGTTAATAACTGTAGGTGGGACTCGTCTCATATGCTTCCTTTGAGTCAAGTTATTAGTTCATGGCTAAAGTTCTGTCGGGCAACGACCTAAACACTGCACTTTTTAATAGGAAATTCCAGGATCTTGAATTTTTTTGTACCATTTGTAAACTTATTGGAATCAAACGTATATTAGTTTCGTAGTGTGACCTGAACGCACTTGTATTATTTTTTTTTCAACAACAAAAATTTCGATGCAACCAGCCTCTCTAACATTCTTCTGTTCGTATGTTACAAGGATGTCGTACTCAGCAAGTATGAAACCCGACGCGTTGCTTCCCGGACAGCTGCCCAAAAGGTCGGATTCATGAAAGCATATATAAAAGGGTTACAAACCGTATACACGAAATACAAATAAAACACATAGATATTGAACGGAATTACTTTCAGTTTCATCATCCATGCAGGCAGGAAAGAGGAAATGAAAACAACTGCAACAATAAAAAACACTACGGCCATTTTGATGTATCGAAGGCGGAGCTTTTCCTTGCGTTTTCTGTACGATGCAGACATTTCTGATAGTATGCATAGTTTCAGTTTTCTCTTTTTGCCAACTTTCTGTTTTTTAACGCCAACATGATTACTTGTAGTGCTTAAAATCTTTCGAGATGCAGCATCCATTCCTATATTATTGCGATACGGCAAAAGGAAACAGTAAATACGCAAATAAACTAAAACTACAGTTATACCACAGATGGCAAACATTGACGAATATATTTTCTCTGTTACGTGGTAATATTTTTTTCCAAACTTTGTCGTGAGGCCACATAAAGTGGTTCTCCTGTAGGTTTGTGTTTTATTTCTGCAGGGATGGTGAGAAAAAGTCGTGTTTAGCTTACATGTTGCATTTTGTTGTTCCTGACTAAGATCACCACTACCACTCCTTTCTTCAAATGGAAAGGTTCCGTAATTCAAACTACACAGAACCCCTATCGAAACTGCTACTGCAATTATACCGACTATCACCGCTTTAGCTCTGGACTTTAAAATGTTCTGCCTTACGTTTCTACAGATGCAAAAATATCTTTCAATTGCGATGGCAACCATTACAAAAGCTGAGAGGGGTATGGTAGAGTTCAAAAGAAAATGATATGTTCTGCACACTGACGTAAAAGGCACGTGAAACTCCATCACCTCCATGGCTATGGTTGCAGGTATTGTTATCGCACAGGTTAAGAGGTCGATGCATGCCAGTGTCTGTATGAAAAAGGTGTGCATCTTCCCTTTGGTGATGCTGGCGATGCCACAAAGAACCAAGCTATTGCCAACAACCCCAACAATGGAGAAGGTCGCTAACATTATCACTACAAACTTTATCTCTGAAGATATCTGCATAAATATTTCCATGATGGAGTCTGAAAGAAAAAAGGACAAGTAGTAAGAGCATATATAAGGTGAACTCTTTTAGATATTACATGAAAATGTCAATTGCATCTGTTATGAATGAAAAGTCACTGGGGACCATATCAACAAAATTCTGTAAAATTTAATAAAACTTTACTTCAGTCTGTAATAAGCATTTTAGCACTTGCTTTTTGATCATGAAAAAAATTGCCACCTACCTGAATATGAACTCTTCACAAAATTACAAGTGAATACAATTCAACGTGCACATCTTTGATGAAGTCACTACAAAGAAAAATTGAAACAGTGAAAAATCCATTTTGGTATAACCTTAACACGTGAAAAAAACCCTAGTTTTACTGATATTCGTCATTGTAACAGATAAGTTTAAAATATATGATGATTATATTTTTTCTGCAATTTTCCCACAATAAGTCAACATATTTCACTTTAGATTTCAAGATGATGAAATTTGAAAAATATGATATACACTGTATAGGCCCAATTTTAATGCCAGAAATTCTTCATTAGGGTTTCATGTAATTATTCAGATATTTATTAGAATCAACCGTATTCACTGTGGATAACTATATAATTCCATACAAAATTTTGCACAGATTCTTAAATTGATGATAAAATCTTACAAAATTCTCCCACTATACTTAGTTAACATTATTCGGGTTACTAATTTGAATGTTCATCTGTGAGAAATATCCTGATTTCTTAAAAAAATTTCATTATTTATCCGTAAGGCTCATTATATAAATTGTATTTGAGAACTTCTTGGATTTAATTCTACTAGTGGTAGAGTGTAATCCTACTTATAGCCATACTTCCCTTTCTAAGGAATAAACCAAGCCTAACTAAGATGTTGACAGTAGGGAAGGAAAAACTTCAAGAGTACTATGCAACAATATATTCAAGAAGAGGTGTGAATCAGATGTGGATACTCAAAAATTCCAAAGAACTTTTGGACAATTTGAAATCACAAGAATTTACCAAAATCAACAGCTTAAAACCTTACTTTTTAACTTTATACACAACCATTCCCAACGATAAATTAAAGTCCAGGCTTTTGGTATCAAGGACAGCTGCTTTTTCAATAAAAATGGAATTCGTAAATTTACTTACCTGGGCATTGGTCATTTGCAAAATTATTTTGTTAAACCACATTCTGATTGCACACACAGGTACTCTGAAAATGACATCAAAAAGATGCTTGAATTTCTGATTGACAATATCTATGTGGTTTTTGGAGATCAGGTATTCCAACAATCTATTGGAATTCCCATGGGTACCAATTGCACTCCGTTTTAGCAGACCTATTTATATATTCATATGAAGCAGAATTTGTGCAAAATCTTATGCGTAAAAAGAAGAAAATACTTCATGTGACCTTCAACTCAACATTTAGATATATCGACAACGTACTGTCAATTAACAATGGTCATTTCCATTCCTACGTCGATACGATATATCCTGGTGAGCTTGAGATAAAAGATACCACAGAGTCTGACAACTGTTTCACACTTGGATATTTTACTTGAAAAAAGACGTTAATGGTAATCTAACAACCAAACTATATGATAACCGTGATGACTTTAACTTTTCTGTCGTCAACTTCCCTTACTTATGCAACAATATACCTTCATCACCTGCCTACGGAGTGTATATATCCCAGTTGATTCGAAAAGCAAGGACATGCTCTACGTAAGAACAATTTCTAAAACGAGGTAAATTATTGACAAGCAAGAATATCAACAGTCTCGTTTAAAATCATTTCGTAAATTCTATGGTCGATACAATGACCTTGTCAGCAAATACAATTCATCATAGAGACAAATGCTGACTGACGTTTTTCATACTAATTGTTAGTCCACTACTTATATACTGATTTGACAACAATTTTTTCCGTTATTCCCAATCATGACAAGGGGCACATTGCGGATGTACATGTGACTGGTAAGCAGGGGATGCTCACTCTTCCACTGCACCTGATCCCACCAATGATGTTTCGGAGGTTCTTGATTGCTCTGCTCCTATTTTGTATTGTTTTATGGACTTTGTTGTTGATTACAGTTCGTTATCTCCATATCCTTCTTTAAAACATCGCTATATTTACAGCTAGCACAATTTTTTTCCGGGGGGGGGGGGGGGGGGGTTAAAATAATAATAATGTCATTATATAAAAGCACTGAGGTCATAAAAATCACTACATGTTTGCACTTCAACATAGGTTTGAGACAAGATGATAACGTGACATTTTTCTTGAAATATCTTACGAATCGTTAGAAATTTTCCATATTATCACATGAATGGCATTTAGTAATTTATGTCAGATGATAAACAAGCCAATCACACATTATACAGAAGGACGTATATTTAAAGGTTCAGGTAATCATTTAATTTTAATAGCTGTTTAGTGTTATTTTTGAATTCAAAATCAAGAAAACGTCTCCATTTACGTGCTTTTACGGGCAAGAGAAAATGCACACATATTAACTGGAACATATAACTACAGTAAAGAGCAAGGTGTTTACGTGAATATTTAGTACTGAAAGTAGCCTTCAGGTTTTTAGCTTTGTGATTTTAAGTTCATTAATTAAATAACTTGCATCAGATATGATTATAAGCAATGAATCATTATTTTTTGAAAGATATGGTCTCATAACTGCAACGGTCCATGCACACAGATTGAGCAATTCGCGTTAATATATAAACACGACGTCCGTCCGTCAATATTGCTTAACACACAAGTAGACTACACTAAGATACATACTTTTGTGAGTTGCTCTTTGACTTCTGTCGATTTCTTTTAAAGGCTACTCATACAGTTCTAGTCTTACTGCAATCTTGCCTAAAAGAAGATTAAGACAAGATTCATTAAAATTCTATTTTTTGCTGTTGCAAAGTTTAAAGTCCAACTGCTACTTTTCCTTTGTTCTGAGTACAAACCAGCAGAGCTACAGTCTCGACAAAGACTTCTGGCATGTTGAAGAAAGTGGAGAAAAAACTGTTAGTAGTCCCCTACCGGTGAAACCGGACGGAACTCTGGGTTTCTTCTGAGTCTGTCTGTCTCTCTGTCATTATGTCACACTTGGTTTTCCGCATTTTTTCCTAAACAATTGCAGATACTGAGCTGATTTTTTTTTATGTAAATGTATCTTGAAGGGTTACAGATGAAATTTGAATTGCGTTCCGCGTCATTGAATTTTGACGGAATTGTCGCATTTTTAATTTTTTGTAAAAAGGAACGCGATAGGGATCGTGATGCACTAAATTAATATTCAAAACTAGCTTGTTTCCAAAATAGAAAAGGGCCGGGGAACCAGAAGGGGACATGTATTGCTTATGCAATACTCTCGGAATGCTTGTTAACTTTGAGTTTAAATGAAAAAGAATCTTCATGTTTTTAGCTTTATTGAACTGAGATTAGGAGTGATAGCAACGTGACCGTCCCCGTATATCTGCATGTCTATAAACATTTTTTTTTCAAAATTCCACTCTTCTAATAGTTTTAATCTGATTTCAAGATACATGTGAATTGCAAACAAAAGACAACACTGATACAGTGCACAAATCTGTTTATATATATTGTTTTTATTTTGACGAAATGCTGTCATGGTTACATTAATGGAAATATTTGTTTTAAACCTTCAAAACACATCTTTCATTTGGTTTAATTTTCAAATCACGTGACATGTAAATTTACTACAAGAGATATATGAAAGAATCATTATTATTTTTATTGCTGATGGAAAGTTTCAAGTCCCAGTGCTCTCTTCCTTAATTATAAGTAGAGCTACTGTCTCGGCAGAGACTTCTGGTTTTTCAAAATCATCTAATGCCAACGTACATTAATTTTAATTTCCTTGAACTCTTCTTTCAAATGAAATTTGATAACGATATGCGGACAACTTTTTATCAGATTTCAAAATCACATAATAATGTTACATTAATTTTTCATCCATATTTCAACTACTAAATTGTTTAATAAAGCACCAAAATAAAAATACATTTTAAATTTATAAAATACATCTATACCTAATATTTATATAACATACGTACAGACTGGCAGCCGTATTCCGACAACAGAGAAAATACTGTCAAGAAAACAAGTAGCTCTTGGATTTCCTATTCTCACCTCAGCTTTATAGAGATGGACTTGTCAGACTAAGGATTCATTTAATTATACTGTGAGTGTCTAAGGTGACGTACGAGTTGCAAGTATCCTATGAAACATGTGGAGATTAGGAACAGTATTCAAGATCAAAGTCCACAAAACAATACAAAATAGTAGCAGAGCAAACACGAACCTCCAAAACATCAGAGGTGGATTAGGTGCCTTGAAGGAGTGAGCATCACACCCGCCATGTGCTCCTTGTCATGATCGGGAAATAACGGAAAATCAAAAGCCATATGATGTTCTGCATGAAAATGTCAAAACTACTTTGGATTTATCTTTGATAGTTTGAAAAGGTAAAGGCAAAATAAAGGTTTTACAGTATATAACAGTATGGAAATCCGCATGAAGTCCTTTCGCTCAGTATAAAAAGACATCATTCTTTAGAGCCCACAAGGGACACAGACTCACTCAAGGATTCCACGCCGTGTCCCGTAGATAATCCTTATGGTTGAAACGTGGAGATAACGAACAGTATTTCAGATCAAAAGTCAATAAAACAATTAAAAAAATCATGTAGGTGCAGAGCAAACACAGACCTCCGAAACATCGGAGTTGGGATCAGCTGCTATGGAGGAGTGCCGTGTGCTGCTTGTCATGATCGGGTTACAACGGAAAAATCCGTCGTCAATTCAGTGTACGGGTGTTTAAATAATGGACTAACAATAAGTATGAATGATAAATTGCATTGACCACAGAACTTGAACTGTTTACTTTACAGGGACATTCTTTTTTCATCAACTTGCTTTTCAACCTCGTTTTAGAAGATATA